CCAGCAATATCCCGGGGGGGACTACCAGAAACTGGCTTCGCATATTGTATCCGTGTGGGAAATCGAACAGAGCCTTCATGAGCGAATGCTTCAGCCACTAGGCTACCCCAACGCTTCTGGTTGATTGGTTGGTTGGATGGTTTGTTGTTTAACGCCGCACTCAGCAATATTCCAGCTATATGGCGGTGGTCTGAAAATAATCGAATCTGGACCAGACAATTTAGTGATCAACAGCATGAGCATCAATGTACCCTGTTAGGATGCGATGACATGTGTTAACCAAGTCAGCGAGCCTGACCACCAGATCCCGTTAGTCGTCTTTCACCACAAGCATGCCACCGCCTCTAGCCCACAAGATGACAAACCGGCAGTCATCCGTGACCGTACCAAACCACACCAATCAAAATCAGTCCTCTCGCCATACAATGGGGACCTTCTGTCAAGAGTCCAAAAATGCCTACTTTCAGATTACACTCAAATGGTCTATTGTTAGTTTTGAAGAGGACATGCATCATGCGAAAATTATCTTGCATGCAATAAAATATTTTTATGCAAATAGCCCGCTCAGCCACTGTTTGACTTTGTGTGAATTCGATCAGGTGCCTGACCCTACGGGTGTGGGTTCGAATCCCGGATGGGACTCAACCCAACAAAAGTACTAGAATGTGTACTTTACTAAGAGAGTGTAATCGCAGATATAACATAGGTTACATTTGACCACTTTCTAAATGGCATTTGTGTATTCATAGTTTCGCCTGTTATTTCGCAATTGACGAAGGTCATAAATGTAAAAGTGTTGTGATCGAAGGCAGCAACTTCTTGGAATAACATCAACCAAATCTGGTGCCACTGCAAAACATCCCCATGTCAAATTCACTTTGCAGACTGCTCTGTTATACAAAATAACATCTGCAGATAATCTAAATCATCGTCATCTCATGCAGCGATACAATGCAAGATGCTGATTACTACTGTTTTCTGCCGAGTATCAATTTTGTTACACATGTTTTTGATGAAAGAATGGAAAAAGAAATTAACATGCATTTGAATTCTAGTATTGTTTATTAGCTATGTCATTAGTGTCTTTGCGTCGAAAATACAAAATGACAGAAACAGATATCATACTGTTGGCAAAAGATTAAACACTTTGCGTTACTTCGCAAGACAATAAAAAATCCTCATTTGTTTACATATGTTTTGCAGTCACTAACAGACTGATGACGAATATACCACCCAAGTAATGTTATAGCATGATAGATTAATTGTACATGAAAGTATACTGTGTTCCTCAACTTTTTTGAGTAGCATATATACCGATTTACTTTAAGGTTATGTTCTGTCATGAAATCCAGTCTCACATCGTTGTGTCGAAGTTGAAGGGACCAATACATCCTCGAGTTATCTGAACCGCAAAATGATGACTAAATAAGGAAAATGCGGGGACCTCGATTTTACTTCGAGACAACCGTAGTTCAGCACATTAAAGTTCGACTGAACGGTGTTCGAATGTATGTAAAATATTGTCTGTTATTTATAAGAAATAAAACTAAATAGCATTCTTTAAAATTGTGGACACAATGTGTGCTGCCCATTTCTGGTGTCCCCCGCCGTGATATTGCTGGAGTATTGCTAAAAGTGGCGTAAAAGCCGACTCACTCACTCACTATAAAATTGTTCTGATCTCAGACATATCAGGAGAATGTTCTTGAAGAACACTTTTAGTGTACAACGAAGATTACTGCTGTCATGTTTTACCTGTCTTGGACGACATATACAGTAGTCATATGTTACACCGAATGCCGAAATTTGGGTCTCTGTTTATATTGCTATAGCAAAGGCATATCAGTAGTTGAAGAAGAATACCATTTAATTGACAGTGTTTAAAAGATGCATAAGATTGAATGTGTTCCACCATGCCTATATATTGGTAACCCGTGTAAGGATAGTTTTGTTAGACTTGTGTCATGTAAGGATGATGTTTTGATAAGTATTGCTAGGTTTTCTAATAAATGCTTAGAAAAAAGATCCACATGTTTTCTTTAGGAAGGTATATATATATTATGCCTGTACATTGTGCAAAAATGTTTCCATTGTTTTCAAACGCAATAATGTATGACTCTTACTGGTTTTACCAGCATCAAATAAAATGTAAAATTATTCTGTAATGTGGGCCATGGCCTTATACATGTATACTGAAATAAAAACTGTCTGTCTGTGTGTCTGACATTTGGGTCCAACTGGTCCCCGATGGATGGGGGACAGGCTCTGTGACTTTGTTGACAGTAGGTCACCACGATGGAGTTGGTCCTGTACGATATTTAATGACTGGTTGTCTGTTCTAGATTGATTTCAGACAAGGTTTTAGAGCAGCGTTAAACAATCCAGTGATTGACATAATGAACATCCATCCGGCTGCACCACTGGGATACGATGACATGAATCAACCAAGTCAGCGAGCCTGATCACCAGATCCTGTAAGTCGCCTCTTACGACAAGTATGGGTTACTGAAGACCGATTCTAGCCCGGATCTTCGGGTTTGTCGTCATATACACGACCACAACCTTATGTGACGTCATCATGTAAACAATCAACATTATTCAATTGTTATCATAATTATAACGTATGCCACTGTGCTATTTGATTATCAATTGAATAATTGATATGCCTGATTGATTGACATTCAATTGACATCCGTCAGCCATCACACATGCATGGCTGACACAACATCTTCCTAATGTTGTATCTAATTCACAGGCAATAAACAAGATGTTTCACACGAACGAGGGGCTCTGTCCGTTATTGTTGTCTGCTTGGAAAGACTCAGGCCTGAACCCGCGACACCTTTACCGTTCCCAATTTTACTCTAAGCATTTAAACACCATGTACTACTGAAGCCATGAAGTTGAAATTGTAAGCATTTGTTGGTGACGAAAGAGGCCGAATGGCTATAGCGTTGACTCCATTCATTGATACATCAGAACAGAACATTGCCTGCGCCAGCCTCTGTTAATATTTCTATTACGGGCACGAACATTCATTTGTTCGGTGAGTCGTTGGTTGGTTGGTTGGTTGGTTGGTTGGTTGGTTGGTTGGTTGGTTGGTTGGTTGGTTCGTTTGTTTGGTTGTTTGTTCTTTCGATCGTTCGTTCTCTCGTTTGATCGATCGTTCACCCTCTCGCTCGCTCACTCACTTTATTAAACGTTATATCATTCCGAAAATTCACTAATCGTGATATTAACATCAACAGCTCATATCATTCCGAAACTTCACTAATCCTGATATTAACATCGACAGCTCGTGTCATTCCGAAACTTCACTAATCGTGATATTAACATCAACAGCTCATATCATTCCGAAACATCATTAATCGTGATATTAACATCAACAGCTCGTACCATTCCGAAACTTCACTAATCCTGATGTTAACATCGACAGCTCATATCATTCCGAAACTTCACTAATCCTGATGTTAACATCAACAGCTCGTGTCATTCCGAAACTTCACTAATCGTGATATTAACATCAACAGCTCATATCATTCCGAAACATCATTAATCGTGATATTAACATCAACAGCTTATATCATTCCGAAGCTTCACTAATCCTGATGTTAACATCAACAGCTCATATCATTCCGAAGCTTCACTAATGATGTTAACATGGACAGCTCGTATCATTCCGAAACTTCACTAATCCTGATGTTAACATTGAGAGCTCATATCATTCCGAAGTTTCACTAATCGTGATATTTACATTGAGAGCTCATATCATTCCGAAACTTCACTAATCGTGATATTAACATCAACAGCTCATATCATTCCGAAGCTTCACTAATCGTGATATTAACATCAACAGCTCATATCATTCCGAAGCTTCACTAATCGTGATATTAACATCAACAGCTCATATCATTCCGAAGCTTCACTAATCGTGATATTAACATCAACAGCTCATATCATTCCGAAGCTTCACTAATCGTGATATTAACATCAACATATCATTCTCATATCATTCCGAAGCTTCACTAATCGTGATGTTAACATCAACAGCTCATATCATTCCGAAACTTCACTAATCCTGATATTAACATCAACAGCTCATATCATTCCGAAGCTTCGCTAATCCTGATATTAACATCAACAACTCATATCATTCCGAAGCTTCACTAATCGTGATATTAACATCAACAGCTCATATCATTCCGAAGCTTCACTAATCCTGATATTAACATCAACAGCTCATATCATTCCGAAGTTTAACTAATCCTGATGTTAACATTGAGAGCTCATATCATTCCGAAACTTCACTATTCGTGATAACTACATCAACAGCTCATATCATTCCGAAGCTTCACTAATCGTGATATTAACATCAACAGCTCATATCATTCCGAAGCTTCACTAATCGTGATATTAACATCAACAGCTCATATCATTCCGAAGCTTCACTAATCGTGATATTAACATCAACAACTCATATCATTCCGAAGCTTCACTAATCGTGATATTAACATCAACAACTCATATTATTCCGAAGCTTCACTAATCCTGATATTAACATCAACAACTCATATCATTCCGAAACTTCACTAATCGTGATATTAACATCAACAGCTCATCTCATTCCGAAGCTTCACGAATCCTGATATTAACATCAACAGCTCATATCTTTCCGAAACATCATGTATGGCGATATTAACATCAACAGATCATTTCATTCCGAAGCTTCACTAATCGTGATATTAACATCAACAGCTCATATCATTCCGAAGCTTCACTAATCGTGATATTAACATCAATAGCTCACTCAGACCCCCCACCCCACCCATGCTTCACTGCCGCGTTCTCCCATCCACATGTTCAGCCTATAACTGACCTACCCTCACTTGCAGCACACACATCAAACACATCCAGCCATCCCGCTAATTTCATATATCTGATCCTCTCAGTATAACCCTCCTTCTCGCTTTGTTATCTCCGGCGCTGGAAAGACAAGCCGGGATCTCCGACCATACCTAATCACGCAGCTTAGCTGCATTCACCACAGACACAAAAACATTCCGGGCTCTTTCTCCAAGATTTTTGTGACGTTGTGCGATATCGTTGGCCAAAACTGGCAGCATTCTGCTTGGCTTTTAACAGATTTGTAGCACGTGCGAACACTTCAGCCCCCGCCCACTTTGCCCGCGATCTAGTCAGCTGTCCTCGACGAAGATTAGGTATTATTCTCTGAGATCGCCGGAGCCCAGGGTAAGCCTTGCCGGAGTACTTTACTTCTAAGAACGTTTATCTACCACACGTGTCTACAGCTCAGTTGTCTCAGCCGATCGTTGAATAAGGTAAGTGTCCAGCTTACTACTCCGCTCTGTGTGTTCTTAGCTAGATAGGATTCTCCTCAGGGAGTTGGGAATAAATTTTGGTTCACACTTGTCCGGTGACCGGGTTTATGTGCGATGTGGTTTAAACACAGAGCTAGTACTCTCAGGAAATTATCATTAGTATCATTGCATTGCCATTAGTAATAGTAATAGCTCCGATGTGGAATGTGAGTATTAAAATCGCCCGTTACGTTAACATCTGACTTTTATTTTATCTTATTGGTTATTAGTAATAATGAGAGTAATAGCTCCGATGTGGAGGGCGAGTTTTTAAATTGATTATTACGTCTTGACTATTATTTTACTTTTTTTGTAAATATGCTACTAAAATACTGTTAATGTTCCCGATTATTTCACATTAACATACTTAATGTGCCATCATGCCATGTAAGAGTAATTATAGCAATATGAAGAAATTGGGTGGTCTGCAGTGTGCGAAATAGCCACTGGCCCGCTAGCCCGTAAAAATCCAGTCGGACCAGTAAATCTCCACAGTCACTGGCCCGACTGCCTTTCGAATTTTCATGGAGTCATTTCGTAAATATATGACTCTCTCCGACGTATTAAGTTATAAGACACTTTTAAATCATGCAGGTTTATGACCTGATAAAGAGGATCATCCTGTTAGCATCTTAATGATGAAACTCGTATCTACATTCAAATTTCGGACTAGTGAATTATTCTGTGGGCTAGTAACATTCAGGCATAACTAGCCCGACTGACTAGCAAAATTTGGAAACTACTTCGCACACTGGTGGTCTGTAACTTATTTTGAGCAGTATAATAAGCGATAGAATTGATGAACGATTTTTAATTTATTCTTTTCAAGTTTTCTAAATTCTTAACATTTCGAAAAGCGTTGAAGTGATTTCATAAATGCGATAAAAATGCGTTCATAAACCAACGCATTCAAAAACGTGTATAAATATAATGTATTATTTCTTATTTCGGTCTATTTGTGGACAAGTTGGTTAAGTGATGGACATAACATTGTTGTTCACATGTACATACCCAGAGAACACCAATCGTTTGTTTTCACATCGTTAGTCCGACTATAGACCTGCATCTCAAACAGGTGCTTCCATTTGGCATTAACTTTCCGTTTGACGAAATAAACGATCTAAAAATATATGGTAACCTTACTATTGCTTAATGTGAGCGTCCCTTGGGCTTGTAAAGTCTGGCCCCCATCGGGAATATTCTCATGCACAGTTACGTTCCTTGCTGGTGTGAGTGACGGGAGGCATGTATTGGCAGACAACATTGCATATTCAATGGAGCGCTATCTTAGTAGTAACAGAAGATAGGGAACACTGAGAGAGCAAGGTGTGTCCGCGCGCGCGTGCCAGATGCCAGTCTATGTGTGTGTGTGTGTGTGTGTGTGTGTGTGTGTGTGTGTGTGTGTGTGTGTTACTTGTGTCTGTGTCTCTGTGTGTGTCTGTATGTGTGTTTGAGATTGTCAGATGGGGTGTTAAAATTGCTATGTGTTGGACGCATAGCCAATCCGTGCCTCTATGTACTGAAATAAATCTCTTCCAATGTATATTAAGGGGCAGTATATTAGCCTACTGGTTGAAGCGTTTGATCGTCAAGTTCTATTCTCCACTTGAAATGAAAAAAAATAATGTTTCGTGTCAAATCCGCCATCCGCCAGCCATCCGCAAAGATATTACTAAAACGTTGCTGTAAGCAGAGTAAAACCACACTCATTCAATTCGAAAATAGCATATTGAGATATCCATCCAAAGATATTGACCAGTCTTGCAATGTACCTCCCAGTAACATAACCCAATTGTCTGACAACAGATATATCTCGAATTTGATACACTGAAATTTCACCTTCTGATATATCTGGGATTACTCTTTCACAGTTATTGTTCCTTTTGATCATTTTGTAAAAAGCACTGTGTTGCTATGGAAGTTTTAACATTATGAATTTCAAGGCATCAAATACTTAATAAAAACAGCAAATGAGCTGTGAAAGGTGTTGGTTTTCTCCGCCAGGGTCAGTTGTCGATATGCTACACGGAAGTTTTAACATTATGAATTTCAAGGTAGCAAATACTCAATAAAAACCGAAAATGGGCGGAGAAAGGTGTGGGTGTTCTCCGCCAGGGTCAGTTGTCGATATGCTACACGGACGTTTTAACATTATGAATTTCAAGGTAGCAAATACTCAATAAAAACCGAAAATGGGCGGAGAAAGGTGTGGGTGTTCTCCGCCAGGGTCAGTTGTCGATATGCTACACGGACGTTTTAACATTATGAATTTCAAGGTAGCAAATACTCAATAAAAACCGAAAATGGGCGGAGAAAGGTGTGGGTGTTCTCCGCCAGGGTCAGTTGTCGATATGCTACACGGACGTTTTAACATTATGAATTTCAAGGTAGCAAATACTCAATAAAAACCGAAAATGGGCGGAGAAAGGTGTGGGTGTTCTCCGCCAGGGTCAGTTGTCGATATGCTACACGGACGTTTTAACATTATGAATTTCAAGGTAGCAAATACTCAATAAAAAACGAAAATGGGCGGAGAAAGGTGTGGGTGTTCTCCGCCAGGGTCAGTTGTCGATATGCTACACGGACGTTTTAACATTATGAATTTCAAGGTAGCAAATACTCAATAAAAACCGAAAATGGGCGGAGAAAGGTGTGGGTGTTCTCCGCCAGGGTCAGTTGTCCATATGCTACACGGAAGTTTTAACATTATGAATTTCAAGGCATCAAATACTCAATAAAAACCGAAAATGGGCGGAGAAAGGTGTGGGTGTTCTCCGCCAGGGTCAGTTATCCACATGCGTGACATCTGACACCAAAACATTTGAACAAACAGGGTTGCCAAAGGTTCTTAAAACTACGGGACGTCAAGACCTCTGTGATGTATTGATGGAACGTGCACATCTGGAAGCTGGGAGATACGTAGTCTGGCAAGATATCACACCTGTGACCTGAACAGTATGTCAGTATAGCCAATACCGAACCTTAGAAGTAGAAGATATCCGTTAACTCCTGTCTTTCTAAAACCGATAACATACCGACCATGACTGGTAATCGTTTAATCTGAAAACGGTGGATTATAGAATTAATTCTTTCTGAAATCGTTTTCATTTTTTTAACACGGTCGGCCTCTTGTGGCTTTCGCGATGTGATTCAAGCTGCTTTAAAGGCACATTAAGGTATAGAAATGATAAGTTTGGATATTTCCTTGATTAGCTAAGGTGTACGTAATACTGAACTACCCATCTCTAACACACAGGACCGCCTTAGTGGTGTAGTGGTTAGAGCGTCCGCCCGGAGAGCGGAAGGTCGCGGGTTCGATCCCCGATCACGTCATTCCACAAGACGTTAAAATATGGTACTTGTTGGTCCCTGCCTGGCGCTCGGCATTAATGGGTACAACAAGGACTGGTCTGCTCGGAGTGAGTATAAAGTGTCTGAGTAGGGTATTCTAGGACTAATACAAGCAGCCACACATATCCACGTATGCACGTCGTCATACGTTTAATCTCATTTCACCTCACCTCACCTCACCTCACCTCACCTCACCTCACCTCACCTCACCTCACCTCACCTCACCTCGAAATAGCTAACGGGAACGAAGCCGTCGACAGAGGCGAAGCCGTCGAGACACGGTGACACTCAAATTACGTGGGCCTCCTTTCATAAAGTCAGACGCCACCGGCTTCCACAAAAAGGAAGTCGGACAACTGGTAGTCTTGACTGCGGACTTTGTGTACCCCTCTGATAAGTGTTAATTGGCACGGCTCCCACGGCCGAAAGCTATGAAATACACAATGCCATTTAGAAAGTGGTCAAATGTAACATATGTTATATTTGGGATTACACCTTCTTAGTAAAGTACAGATTCTAGTACTCTTGTTGGGTTCAGTCCCATCCGGGATTCGAACCCACACCCTCAAAGTGTAATCCCAAATATAACATATGTTACATTTGACCACTTTCTAAATGGCATTGTGTATTTCATACCTTGTTGCAATGTTAAGAATGGGAGTTAGGGTTAACCTTAGTAACGGTTGCTTCGTGAAAGGATCTCCAGGTCAGCTATTACGTGACTCGACTAACAAACAGTAATTGCAGGTTACAAGAAACAGCTCACAGATTCGATTAATACAAAACAGAATTCCTCAAAGGTGCAATATAGTGTTGTAGTCAAGAAGTTAACGTCTTTCTTCTCGAAGAAAGTTTTTTTCCTCTTTTAAACCTACTTCACAGACTGTTCGAAGAGCACATGTCCAACACGCCTTTGTACTTCCCTGTGTTATTCCAATGGCACCACGCGTTTAGCCTTTTAGGCCCCACAACCATATATTTACTCAAGTGAGAAAATATTGGACTGAATGATAACGAGCGTCAATACGATAGCTGAGATGGCTGCACGTGTCTACGTGGAAATACCAAGGGAATAAGAAGGGTTTTGCTTACCGTAGCCACATGAAGGCCATTATATTGCCAACAAGCATCGTGTCTGCGACTGCCTGGATTTCTTATGTCTGTATAACGTGGGAATGCATTGAATAGTTACACTCTATTCATTCTGCTTTTGTAACCGACCGACCGGAGAGCGGAAGGTCACGGGTTCGATCCCCGACCGCATCATACCAAAAGACGTTAAAATATGGTACTTGTTGGTCCCTGCCTGGCGCTCGGCATTAATGGGTACAACAAGGACTGGTCTGCTCGGAGTGAGTATAATGTGTTTGAGTGGGGTATTCATGCTTCACTGCAGCATGGTGTCACAGTGGGCTAGCACTATAAAACCAGCTTAAGTCTGGGCTAGTACAAGCAGCCGCAAATACACATACACACGCATGCACGACGTCATATGAGCGAAATATTCTCAAGCACGACGTTAAACCCAATTTCACCTCACCTCATATGGTGCTAGTCACTAACATATCATGTAGCAGTTCGTTGTTGATACCCCTTTCTGACACATAAAC